CTCATAATTGGGGACTTTTCTCTACAACTCGCAAATCTTTTTTCGCAACGATTACACGATTTAACAATGAATTTTCCACCAAACAGATTTTACTTTCAACAGCAATAAAATCGCGGTGGAATCAATAGATGCTTGTTAATTTAATAGAAACTCCGCTATCTCATATTAGAAACTTGTCTCATAATTGGGGACTTTTCTCTACGACTCGCAAATCTTTTTTCGCAACGATTACACGATTTAACAATGAATTTTCCACCAAACAGATTTTACTTTCAACAGCAATAAAATCGCGGTGGAATCAATAGATGATGCTTGTTAATTTAATAGAAACTCCGCTATCTCATTTTAGAAACTTGTCTCATAATAGGGGACTTTTCTTTACAACTCGCAAATCTTTTTCGATCTAACAATGAATTTTCCACTAAACAGATTTCACTTTCAACAGCAATAAAATCACGGTGAAATCAATAGATGATGCTTGTTAATTTAATAGAAACTCCGCTATCTCATATTAGAAACTTGTCTCATAATAGAGGACTTTTCTCTACAACTCGCGACCGGATAAAAAGTCTGACAATTTATCAAGAATAAAAACACATATATACAAGACGTTCGGCGGGTTCTCGTGCGAATCACTCGAACAGGCGAGTCGAGCAACCGGAGCGACGGAGTTAAACAGTCCGCGAAATGACGTTAACGCGAGAATAATGCACAAACAATCGTACTCACCGCAGATTCGAGTTGATCCGCCGTTGCCCGATGCCTCCTAGACCGCCGCTTCCTCTCAGACTGCTCCATTTCGCGCTGGCACAACGCAACACTCGCGAAAGACGGGCTAATTACCCGAGACACGGCACTCCCGGTGTTAATTGACGCGGACTTCGCTGCAACGGGAACGTGGGACAACCGCGCGCGGAAATACGAGTCGCGTCCGGCGAGGTGGTGTCGCGCCAACGGGAACGTTTCGGCGGGAAAAACTCGCGGAGATGCGCGAGGTTAACTTGACGCGCGTCGCGTCCGACGGGGCGATTTCGCGCGAGCGTTTCCCTCGCCGCGCGTCACGCGTGGAAAACACGGATGTTACTGCACGCGCGAGGAGATACGAGAAATTGGAGGGCTCGGTGTACACGCGACGCGAGGACACGACGGCGCCGCGGCGACGCCCGCCGACCGCGCGTGACATTTCGGCCGGGATTTCCTGGACTTGCGCGTCCCGGTGGATTACCGACGCGCGAGGGTCGGAGTCTACGTCGCGCGATCGTTGAACGGCACAATAGTAAACTTACTGCGATTGTACGTGGCGTGAAATGCGACGACCACCGGCACGAGACCGGTCCGCCGCGTGTCCACGGGCTCCTCGAACGGATCAACATGGCGCCGGTTCCCGGCGGCCACTGCGCGGCGCTGCAACGGCGATGCTACGCTAGTATTCGAATCGACGGCGCGACGCGTCTCGGATAAACGCGTTCACTCGGGAAACGCGCACTTGGACGACGCAACCGACGCACCTTCGCGCGGCTCCCCTCACAATTTCTTCACTCGATATGCATCGTCGAAAGGGTTGCGAGCGCGATTCGGCGAGTCACTTTCCGTGTCACGCACGAGGTAAATCCTTGGAGGAAGACGAAGGCGACGTCCCACGGCACCCGCGGAATCGACGAGCTCGATTGCACGGCTGTGGCGTCGTTTAGTTACGCGGTGGAACGATCACGCACATCGTCCCGCAACACTCGTATCGGCGGTTCGAACTAGAGCTGAAATTTTTCTTCGAAGATTTTCAATTTCGAAGCTTCGTAGAAATTATTCGAGAATTGAAGTTTTCGAATTTTTCGAAGATTCGAAGTTTCGAAGTTTCGAATATTCGAAGTCAACTAATGTATTAACAAGATAAAAACAATAACACATTTTGCAAAATTAATCGTTTTTACTATAAGTGTGAACTAATTAAATGCCAACTAATTAATATCATTACAAGTATAAAAAAACAAATGTACTTTTTGTCGGACACATTTTTGTCCATTCGCTCATAAAAATACAATTAATTCGAAGGAAATAAATTTTCTATCATTAACATTTTATCTTATTAACTATTTCTTTTTACTGCCTGATACAGATGATAAATACAGATGATAAATTAGGTTGGTCTTTGAAAGCTTATATCTTAATGCATTAATTGACTTCGAATATTCGAAACTTCGAAACTTCGAAAATTCGATATTCAAAGTTTCTTCGTTTCTTCGGATACTTCGAAGCTTCGAAGTTGCGAAGCTTCGAATAATTAAGACCACTAGTTCGAACGACAGTACTTCACTCGCGTCTTCTCGACGAGCAGCGGCGTCGCCAACTACGCGAGTCAACGGCGCGTTGGAAAATCACCTCGGTTTCGCTCGCGCGGCGTATCTGAATTAAGTGCGCGGATCCGCGCGAAAAAAATTACGCGATCTTCTCGACAAGTCGCGGCAAAAGTTAACGACGAGACTGCGGATCGCGACGATTACTTAAACGCGATTTGACAAGCGTTAGTGATTTTCGCACGGGACGATCGAGATTCCCGTCGGAAACGATCGCGAAACACACGCGGAACGTCCGCCCCGCGCGACCGATACGCGCCGAATGATTCGACACAATGGACCGTTTTTCGAGGTGTTTACGACGCTACGTCATTTCTCGGAACCGACGCTCGGCTACGGCGCTCGGCGAAAAAAAAAACCGTGACACCGCGCGTCGAGGCGCGACACCAAAACATCGAGAGGCGATGATGACGTACTTTTGAAACGCGAGGGCACTCACTAGCGGGCGAATCGGTCTGAAGTTGGCGCGCTCGGTGGCTGCGCACTCGGCCCGTCGCGCATCCGCCTCTCCCGGCTGACGTTAGCCGCGAGTTACGGCATGGCCGCCATGGCAGCTGATGCCCCGCGTTGCAGCACTTGACGTTTAATCGGAACATGTCATTTTGCAGATTTCGTTTTCACAAATGGCAGACACTTTTTTCGGTTTCGATACCACGCTCGGAGTAAGTATGGCAACGCAACGCCCCGACCGTGAGCGGTTCCCGCGGGCCGGTTCTCGTTTTTCGACGGGGCGCGCGACTGCGAATCCTCCCCCGGATAAACAGTCGCGTCGCGGCCTCGCTTGTCTGGCGAGACGGGGCTCTACGCCTCGCCGCCGGCGACGCGGCGGCCCGGATCGGCGAACGGCGGCTCTCGCGAACTCGCCCGCGGTTGCATCTCGTCGCCGCCGCCCCCCCCCCCTCTCCCTCCCCCCGGGGAAATGATAAAATCGTCCCTCCGTCGCAGGGTTACGTTACGTCGTCTAACCTCATTCTTGTTTTCCTCGCCCTAAAGGTCATTAACATCGCGCGTCGCGAGGCCCCGGTCGAGTTTGTCGGTGGATCCGCGCGTGCCGTCGTGACCGAAGCTCCGTCAATTGGGATTTCACGTTGCGTCCGGGGGTATCGCTTTGCCGCGAGAACGTTGCCACGACCTTTTGCAATGATTTCTACAGTTTCCTTTCTCCCTCGAGCATCCCCGTTCGGTTCTCTTTTACGTCTGGTTTGCGCCGGGTGCCGCGCCGATACTTGCGCGGTTCCAGTGAAAGTTATCGTTCGCTTGGTATGATTTAGGATAACAATCAAGAAGATGGACTGGAATGTCCATTGGATGAAGACGAGCTCGAGGAAGAGGAGTACGACGCGCTGAACGATGAGACGTTCGGTCCCGATGCCGCTATCGGTGATTGGGAGGAAGATCATGAGAAACTTGCCGAAATTACTGAATCAAATCGCCTTCATAATCAGAGTGCAACAAGTAAAAAGGTACGTCGATACTACGTTTTAATTGGCCTTTAAACCTTCGAGGCCTGGCGGGCGCGAAAATCACAAATTGAACTGTTTTGGCAACCACGGGTTGGACTTGGTTCGCCAAATTGGCAGGGAAGCGACAAAATGATGCCGTGGAAACACGTTACGAGAACACTGTCTTACTATTATTGCTTGACTATTGTTGCAGGGACATTAGATCTAAGATATTTCAAACTGTGGGGCCAGTTTCGCAAACGTCGGTTAACTGCTAACCGAAGGTTAATTGATTGTTTCCGTCTCTTCTTGGATAACAAGTTAGAAAAAGATAGGGAGTTGACTGAACTCTCGTCAAACAGTTAACAGACGTTTGCGAAATTGGCCCTTGGTTCAAGTTTCGCACAAACGTGCCAGTGATTGCGTATTTGCAAAGTGATATCGTTTTGAACATTGTGAGACAGACTCCTGATATCAGATAGCGAGTTTTCGACGCACATTCAATTTCTTTTTACGTAACAATTACACGCGCGACCTGACAACGCATTTTCCACCGAACAGATTTCACTCCAAGGACAATAAATTCACGGTGGGAGCAACAGATGATGCCTGTTAATTTAGCAGAAGCCCTCCCCCCCCTCCCCGCTATCTCATGTTAGAAGCATCTCGTATAATAGAGGACTCCCCTCTATATCTGCGATAAATTAATGAAATTATTCTAATGTGTTAATAAACGTTCTCTCAAATGTGTGCTTGCTACTGCGAATTTGTCTCAATGTGTCGAGATCAGTTGTATTGTGCAATTAAATTTGCAATTCTAAATTAAAGCACAGATAATGCAAGTTCTTGAATTTTCAGAAAAGTAATCCATAACAATAGTACGATTTGATGAGTTTCGTGAATCACTGTTTAACGTTTAACACTTGGAGTAAATAATCTTGCAACATATTTAATTCAAACTAAAGTTGTCGTTTTCTGTTATTGCATTATCCAAATTTTTAAACATTAATTACATATGTCATACGCCTTGTGTTTCTTGCAGACTATTTCTAACATAAATATCGAAGATAATTTATCACATTTGGTATTGGATAAGGAAGGAATAGTTCCCCGACCCGGTGTATGGGGTAGTCCCTTGACTTTATCACCTCCGAAGCCACGATTGTCTTTACCAAATGCCTGCACGGTGGAAGAGTTGGAAAGGGGGTTTATTGCAATAGCAAATATGCCGCCACCAGGTCTCAGTAAACCACAAACGCAACAACAGCAGAAGAAGTCCGAGGGTTCGCTTCTCTTTGAGGCCCTTTCTTTGAAAGAGAAGCTTCATCAAGTCAATGGCCTACCTCCACCACGTTTTCCACCAGGGCTGGGTCTACCTGGAGCACATCCTATAGTCTTGCCCAATATAAGACCACCACATCCTCAGTTGATGCAACATCCTAGATTATTAGGCTTAATTAGTAAGTGTAGTTATATTATTGTTAATTAAATATCGCGTTTAAATGTATGCAGGTTTTGTATGTAATTGTTTTTTTGCAAACTATGAATCGATAAGTACTCAGTACATGTAAATCTCCAAATGTTTTGGTAGAGAATCGTGTATTTTATATTTCCGCTCGTGCGTCTAATCTTATCTGTTTTAATTAATACAAAATCTAGTTAATTGTAATTAAAAAATTACTAAATTTTAACTTTGGCAAAAAATTTCTTTATTAATGCTGCTTATCCTTTGCTTTATCAGATCAACCTGGTAATGTGTTACGTTATCCTCCTCCGCATTTAATGTTGCCACAACCAGTTCCAAGGCAAGCTCTTCATGGCTCCTATGGCTTTCCTCCTGTAAGTCGTTTTTTACAGACAATTATGATTACTGCAATAAAATATTTTTACCCTGTTAATGCGCGTTTTCTATTGCATTACAGCAACTACATCCTAATCTAGGAGGTCCGCAGTTCCTTCGGCCGGATCACATGATGCCTGCATTTCCTAACAACCAAGCCAATCATCAGCAACACCAACATTCTTATTCACACTTAGGAAATCAGAGAAACCAGAACAGATCTTACTACCATAACGAACAACAAGCCGGACATCAACCATTTTTTAAAAATAATCAATATCCTCGCAATCATGACAGAAATAATCAACGACCTTATCATCATCAACATTACTCGCACAGCGTTAACGGTAATGCTTCGGGAGAATACGAACACTCAGGAAAACTTGCTATAAAACCTCATGAGAAGCAATGGTTAATTAATATTCAATTATTACAACTTAATACAATTCAACCGTACGTCGATGACCATTATTATGTCGTATTCTGTGATAAACGGAATAGACAACATGCAAATCAAGAACAAAAAGATAAGAAGCACCATAATAATGGATATCATAGGGATCACAGGTATGGTTCTTTTATTTCCAAAATCTATACGTGTAATAACTCCTGATTAATATTTTGCATTTCTTAACGCAAAGACAAATGTGCATTTTTTGTGACAACGTAGCACTACAAAATATACTTCGTACGAAACGTGCAATAATGTTACTTGTTTTATTATAATTGTTTATTGTACTTTAATGATTTGAGAGATTAATAAAAATATCACTTATTTGCTCTGCATCGTACATACAGACTGATTGGAAGTTATTTGTTCTTTAAAGATATTTATAAATTATTTATTATTGTCCTTAATTTTTTTGTTTGACTATTTCTTTAGAGATTGGGAACCGTCACCTCAAGCCTCTTCAAGATCAGCATATACGCCAGCTCAATTTGAGAATTCATTAGGCAAACTTCATTGCAGCAGTGTGACAGCACCACGTAAACTTATTGACATGGATGTCGTATCGAATAGTGACTCTCAGTCTACTTCACAGTCTCAACAGAAGGACACTAAAAAAACACGACAATTACTTCTTGAAATTGAGAGAGTACTGTCAATATTCTAGTATTAGCAAATTTTGCAACGTATTTTTTATTAATAAAATATTATCTTTTAGCTGTATACACTGCAATTCAAGCTTGAAGATCTGAGTAATCCTCTCGCTTCAATTCCGGAACTGCAACAACCACAGGAAGGGGAATCGGAAACAAATGCGACTAAAACTGAACCGGAATTAATAAGCATGATTTTAATATGTATACAACAATTAATACAAGATGATAAATTAGCTAGTATGCTAAGTATTCGAAAAGGAAAGGTAATTTGATGAATAAGGAGTGAGATTTAAAGTTTATAATCTTGTATTTATACGTGTTTGTATCTTGTAGACATTATTACTGCGTTTTTTACCTCACCTGAACGTGACAGAATATAGTAAGCAGTTGAGAGAATTGTGGACTGCGATATTTAAGGGATTAGCCGTGATAGGACGTAGAGATTGTCATATATTGACAGACTTTTATTCCGAATTTCGAAGGTGGCTCGATACGGTGAAAGATTTTGATACCATACTGCGATTAGCACGAGCATTATCCGACTCTGCTACTGTTCATCCTGTTAAAAATAATAGCTTAACATTTGCCCTCCTGAATAAGGTTAGTTAAATGCACAATTAATTATGAGTCTTCCAACGAATGCATATACAGGAAGTATATATATATATATATATAATGATGATCTCTGGGTTACTTGTTCTTTCAGTTTGGTGTGTCTGCAATAGCAGCGATGCTCGAGCAAGCTGAACAATTGTGTGTCACGGATGATTCCCTGCCTTCTGAATGGTCAACTTTTGTAGTGACAATAGTTGAGCTAATTGGTGACTCGTCTCCCTGCGTCGCACCTTGTCAACCAATTACTGCAAATACGCTCAATGAACACCTGAATCGGATTTCTAGTTTAAAACTAGAAAGGTATACAGCTCTAGCGTGCTTGTTGACTGATGCCAATCCGTTACGATAGTCTAACGTTACACAAGTTACTTGAGTTTTTTAAGGTTCGTCTTTTTTTAACATACAAAAAATAAATTTGCTAAAAAAAGGAATGATACATACAGACAAATATTTTAATATAATTACTAACGTTATTGAAACATCCATTGTGTATAATAATATTTCTAAATAGATGCCATGATTTTACAAAGTAGATTAAGTATCTGATGCGGAATATTAAAGAAAGAAAATTTATATATGTATATATATAGGTAGAAATATTGTGAACATTCTGATGCACAATGAGGTTTCTTACTCGTATACATATATAATATCACCTTTCATTGTATATTTTATAAACATTAATCAGTTTGAGCGCATAATTGATAGCATGACAAAGTCACTACATTATCAGGAAACGTAAACATCAGATAAAGTAACAGAGTTACACGCCAAGAAACTTTTATAGCTTTTTTTTTTAAATTGCAGTGCATTTTAATTTCTACTCTGTGTATGATTGGTATCTAATGTTCAACGTAAGACATTTGAAGTTACAGTGCACCTCATTTACAATGATTAAAAGAATTGAGCCATGTCTGTCTTTACAGAATATATCGTATACATTGAAGTAAATGATAATTTCAAATGCCTTACTTCATATTAAACTGCACATCCTATCTTCCTATTCGCTATATTCGTGCTTCTTTTAATTAGAGTATTACATTTTAATGTATTTAAAAATATAAGTTCTACTATTGGTATTTATAATATATACCATTGTATTGATTAATACACATTTGAATTATTTTGGATACTTACAATTAGTATCACCATTTTTATGAACCTATATAAGAATGCAGTGATGATATTTTACATGTATTAAGGAAACTTTCTTTATCCCTTCATAAACTACTTTTTTTTCCTTTAATATATTTTATTGTTAGTATACAACGCATTAGCGTTTACATTAGCAGTTTTTTTTAATTTATGCTGCTAAATGTATCTTTTAAAGTTTAGTTTTGTACATATTTTGCAATTACGTATGTATATGAATATGTGTATATGATATTCACGGAAAATAAGACGGGATGTGTACGTTTTTCCCCTTTCGTTTATTTGAAAATCAGATTTCTACGTTATTATACATTACGCATTGTTGTAAATGAAATCAATAGCGCTAGAAAAAGAAAAAAATTCGCTATCAGTGTACAGATGACTTATATTTTGGAAATGACAACAGATAATCATTTACACCGCAACTGTTAAGATATAATTACGGAGATGCGAACAATTGCGTATACAACAATAGCATGAGTTAGTTATCAGCAGCAAAACTGTAGTAGTCTTTTTATAAAGTTTGTATTATATATTAAGTACCAAAATTACACTTTTATTAGTTGGAACATCAGAAGCATGTGACAACATGATGTTTAATATAGTTACAAACGATTACAGATTCATCAATTTAGGAAGTGTGGTCTCTCTTTCTTTTCTTATTTTCTAATATAAAATAGTTGTTGTAGAACAGACACAATCTTGTGATCGTGTAATAAAAGGAAGAGAGAAGGGAAGGCGACTCTGTAATTGCAATGTGTGTTTGCAGTACCGTAAGAATTTTAAAGATAATCTAAAGCGTATGAGATGACATGGCCTTTAGAGTACTAAATAAGACGATTACTTTTTATCGCAGTTTAAACTACAACCTTGTTTATGTACTTCTAGCTTGTATATAGAATGATATTGCGTGAATGATGGATGCATTTTGTAATCAAATGCAGAAATATTTCGGTTTCTGCCATGTCACATGACGTAATAACACTATTTTGAAAAAACGATTTTTCAAGTTAGAGTTTCTTGTTGCTAGTTTGTAATCTTAACAAGCGTAATAATGATTATCGACTCGAGCGGTATTTTTGGATTGCATTACATTTTCTAAAGGGGAGGTTATTAGAAATCATGAAAGCGTTGCACACAATTTTTATTTTGCAAACACTCAATCCAAATGTAGTTCCAAACATTTTGTCGTTTTTTTTTCTTTTTTTTTAACGCAAATCGTTTCACTACTTAGACCACTAAAAGTTAAACGTTAAGATATTGCAGCATTTCAATTGATTATATTTATATAAGTTACATTGTCATATATAAACACATGTTATTTCAGTGCGATTAGCTTGTATGCTTTAAAGAATACATAATGAACAGTGTTATATATGATTTTATTATTTCTACTATTAAATATCATTATAATTACAGCTTTGGTGATTATTAATTAGATGAGTCAATTGAACAAAAGGCGAACCAAATGAGTACTCATTTATTAATGCTTACGAACGATTTAGTAATGTACAGCTTAAAAGTTTTGCTAATTAGCGTTCTCATTATTATGTAACAAGCTGTCAAAGAGAAATTAAGTCTACGTTTTTACATAAGCAGTACTGAGAATCTAAGGGATACATAATTGATCCTGTTGATCTGTAGACAAGGATGCATATTTGAGAAGCCCAAGAGTTACATTACATTCTTCTTACTACGTAACTGTGGGCTCACACTTTTTTAGAGTAAAGCTTAATTGTAGGCGCAGCGTATTTATGAATTGTTTCAAGCACTAAAAAGTTTTAAATGATTTTATGATTAAGGGAAAAAATATGCGTTTTAGAGTAGTCTTTATTTTGAATGCTTAAACTCTGCCCTATCGATTTATATGTTAAGGGGTAGATCAGGCGACTATTAATGAGTATATTATTTTCTCTTAAGGGCTACTAAAATATGTATGTATATATTTGTAACAAAAATATTTGTAAAATATATTTTACAAATATATCGTATATTTTACAAATATATACGTACATTGGTAAAGTAATATGTTCTTGCTCGTTCAGATTATGTAACAATAGAATTTAATTAGTTCCTTTTTTTCTTTTTTCTTTTTACCACTGTCACTCATGATCGTCGCAATAATTCATGTATAGCATTTGCAGTTTTTCCATTTATTTTCCAACATTAATTGTTACGAGAACAATGTTTCGATGGTATATTGCTGTTGCTAATGCACTAATTGTACCAAAAAATTCATAGCACAGCAGAACGATATAAATTAAAATCTATTCAATTTGTACAGCGACAAAGGGATTTTATGGTCAACGAGTATATCTGTATACTTTAATATTAACCAAGTATATATCTGTTCCAATACAGATGTGATTCACACCACATTATTGTATAATGAGTGATGTCTCATATTCTGTTTGTCATCGTCATGCAGATTGAAGCTTTTGCTAATGAAAAAAAAGAGCATGCAACATGTCTTCTTGTAAAGTAGATAAAGCGATTAGAGCGAAAATTGTGCGTTTGCTTTTTGTGATTAAAGATATATTTTTATAAAAACGCTATGTTTATTATGTTTAGAAACGAAACAGATGTAATGGAGTGCTATAAAAAAAGAAACGAGATCGTTAAATTAACTTAAGAATTCTTCATAGTTTATCGTCATTACGTCTATTATGTACTCGTCGGTGATATGCCTGTATATTAAAAGAAAATTGATTGTAAATTTATAACACAGTCTGAGAATATAATTGTAGCTATTGTGTATGTACAGAATTGATCTAATTTGAAATCAAAGTCTTAAATAAATGTTTTGCATCCTAGATCTCTTGTACTTCATACAAAGTCTCCCTACTATATCGTGAGTATTATATCATCGCTATTATTATATGTATACTAGCACACACAGCGCGCGCTTTTACGGTCTTTACTTTTTTCTCCTGTACATATATATAACAAATAATTATATAAAAAAATATAAATTTTTAAATTTATTTTAAAAAATCATGTAATATGTATTTTGACAGAGTGTCAACATCAGATTACGTCTTCTTCACATGAAAAAAAATCTTAATGTGTGAAGATCACGAATAAATATAAATTAAAACCAAATAGCGCGCGCAATGCTATTTCCAATAAAGTATTTAATACCAATTTGTATTATTATTGAAGTAAATAATTCGATAATTTTTGCCCATAATAAGTGAAGATTTGCAATTTAGTAATATACATTTGTATACACCAACTATTGAGGTAAAATCTCTAATCTTAGTAATTAGAATTTATAAAGTATTATAACAACGATTTTTGTTTCGAAACATTTTCTCGATTGAACAGAATTAATCATTAATTTACAAAACATAGCAACAGTCACGGAACAAAGTAATGTACAATAAAATATTAAGTACGAAATTTTCCATTGCGTAGGCAGGCCAACGAATTCTCAACGCTTTTTTGTTGTTTTTCACTCGGCGCGGTATCGTACGACGATTAAACGGGGCAACAAATTCTCAACGTTTTTTTCTTGTTTTTCATTCGGCGCGGTAACGTACGATGTTTTTGCGTGCTATCGTGTACCTGAAGGTCGCCGCGCTATCACTCGCTCGCTGAACGTCGAGCCGGCAGGCAGTGGCGAGAGTCGCTCCGTGCGTGCTATTACTTTTGCGTTATCGGTTTTCAAGACTCGATCGCGACAAATGTAGGGATATATAGATAAGTTAGTCTCGTGAAATACCTATGTACGTTGATAAAGAGCTGTCGTCTCAACACGCAATTCTCATTACAAGTTGTAGGAACTTAATAATCGAGGAACGTTACTCGTTACTGATAAAGGTGTACAAATCGATAGCGTTTTGCGGAGAGAGGATAACGCACACAAGCGAGCAGCCATGTCCATGTGCGCCCGGCGCCGCGCCGGGCATGCGCCGGGCGCACACGGACACGGCTGCTCGCTTGTGTGCGTTATCCCCTCTCCGACCACATCGTGCTGTAAAAGTAGCGGAATTTGCATCACTGCGGCACCCTGAGTCCCGTCTGGGCCGTCGAGCGGTTCACACGTCTTCCGAAGGAAAATAAATTTTTGATCCTGCGTGATTGCATCATCCCGCGCGTGGCCCGGTTACCGGGCCATTGCATTGTTCAACTCATATTTAGTCTATTGGTTCGACGTGGCCGTGGTCTGTAATTCAACAACGTCTATTGGTTCGTCGTGGCCGTATCGGCTACCGTTTATCAGGTGCCGGGCGCCACAATTAGAAGAAGAAGAAGACGAAGAGTGTACGATTGAAAAAAACGTTCATCGACGGAACGCGGTAAAAGCAATGGATGAGCAGATAGACGAACTGACGGAGAAGCAACTAACGCAACGGCTCGAGCAGCTAGGGCTGGATACAACAGATACGAGAGCGGAAAGACGTGAGAGATTAAGCAGGGCCCGAGACGTCGGTGCGGGGCCGAGTGCGCAAGGCGAAGCGAACGTTGCAAGCACAGGTGGCGGCAACATGGCGACGATACGGGATAGCCCGGACGACGTAGCGGGCGATCGGCGATCTAAAGAGACAGGAATCGCCAAAAACATAGATGCAATGACGAAGAAAGAATTGCAGAAGAAATTAGGCGAACTAGGCCTGCCGACAGTGGACCTTAAGGCGGATTTACGACGACAATTGACGCCGGCTCTGCAAGACGATGAGAGTGACGAAGATGGCGATACAGACGATAACGAAGGAAGCGAAGACGACATAGCGAGGGACGTCAACCACAGACAAAGAGAGCGTAGATCGATGCACACGCGTAGTGATTCTAGAGAGAGCGCGACCCCGCGCGGTGACGACCGACGGTACCGTGATCACCCGGTAACATTGCATTCTGCGTTACCATTTAGGGATGTGCAAGACGCGCTCGAAACTTTTAGCGGCGACGGTACTCAGAACATACGACGATGGCTTACGGCGTTTGAGGAGACTGCCGAACTGTGTGAATGGACTGAGACGCAAAAAATCGTGTATCTCAAGAAGCTTTTGAGCGGATCCGCGAAACTTTTTGCTAATTATGAGTGTCATGTGCGCTCATGGTCGGCGTTAAAGGAGGCGTTTGTTGACGAATTCGGACCCGCACTAAACAGTCGACAAGTACATAAAGAATTGAGCGCGATGTCGAAAAAGGCGAATGAGTCGTACCAAGAATACGTGTATCGAGTGTTAGAAGTCGCAAGCCATAGCGAAATGGAACTCGATTCTAAGATTCAATACATCATCGACGGAATTAAAGACGATGAGGCGCATAAATTTATTTTATACGGCGCAAAGACGATAAAGGAACTACGAGAGCGGCTAAAGCAATACGCGATTCAGCAGACGAATCGTAGCAAGGCGAAACAACCAGCGTTCAAGAAGAAGAGTCCAGGAACTACACAGGCGTCGAACAAGGGATCCATGGAGACAACAACTGGCAAGAAGAAGAGATGCTATAATTGCGGTGATCTCAATCACCTAGGAAAGGAGTGTCCGAGTAAATCTAAAGGTGCGAAGTGCTACTCATGCGGCGAATTCGGACATCTCGCGGCGGAGTGTCCGAAAGGCTCGAAGACGGCGACCAAAATGCCCACAGCTAGAGTGGATGCGCTTCACACGCACAGAGACAAGAAAACATATAAGACTGTCTGTGTTCGCGGCAAGGAGACGATGGCGGTAGTAACCAACGGCGTATTGTGCAAGGAGAATCGCGGAAACCTTTTGATGGTGATACCAAAACAGATGCAGCAGGAAATGGTGGTCAAGGCGCATGAGCGAGGTCATTTCGGATGGCGGAAGATGGAGCATTTAATGAAGCAAGAATACTGGTTCCCACAAATGCGCAATAAAATCAAGCAGACGATCGATAATTGTGTGCACTGCTTGCTGGCGGAGAAAAAGCAAGGTAAAGCGGAAGGTTGGTTGCAGCCACTGGAGAAAGGCGACGGACCACTCGACACATATCATATCTACCATTTGGATCCAATCCCATCAACCAAGAAAAATTACGCACATATGTTGGTAGTGGTAGACGGTTTTAGCAAGTTCGTATGGCTCTACCCCACCAAATCTACTACGAGTGACGAAGTCATTAGTCGTCTCAAGAGACAAGCCGTCATCTTTGGTAATCCACGGCGTATAATTTCTGATCGCGGAACGGCGTTCACAGCGCACGTTTTCCGCAACTACTGCAAAGAAGAGAACATAGAGCATGTATGCATCACGACAGGTGTAACTCGTGCCAATGGTCAAGTAGAAAGGATGAATCGTACGATCATCGCACTGCTCACGAAGTTGTCAATGCCAAAAGCAGAGGAGTGGCATAAATACGTGGAGAAGGTGCAGCAATTTATCAATTCCTCCTACAGTCGCAGCGTCGGTACTACTCCCTTTGAATTGCTAATAGGACGGAAAATGCGGCTCCCAGACGATGTCGAGTTGCGTGATCTGATCCGGACGGAGTACTACGCGACAGTCCAACAGGAGAGATCTGATTTGCGAGACGAAGCCAAGAAGAATGTAGCCAAGATCCAAGCAGAAAACAAGGCTACGTTTAATCGACGACGCAGACAAGCCAGAAGGTATAGAACCGGAGATATCGTGGCGATCCAGCATACGCAATTCCTAGGGCCGTATCGGATCAAGACGGCTCTACGAAACGAACGATATCTAGTCGAGAAAATAGGCGAGCATGGTGGTCCTAACGCTACCAGCACATCGGCGGACCACATCAAGCCGTGGCCACAACATCGGGGATGGAATGTTGAGACTGATATTCCGTCCAATATCCGTGACGACTCAGGTAGCAGTGAAGATGACCACGACGATTTCGATTCCTCATCCACGGAACATCGAGACGATGTTCGAGTCAGTATGGCCAAGTGTGAGGCCTTTTTCAACCATGTGTTGGAAGCACTGAAGAAGAGGGAGATGGCGAGAGAAAGAAAAAAGAGTAGTAAGTCAGTCGAGAGTAGAGCTTACGATTGGATACGTGTTTTAAGATTCACGTGTACACGTGATCCGTGTACACGGATTCACGGTACCTTCATTCACGTGTACCTGTGTCCGTGACACGTGTATTCGAATGTCCGTGTATGTACAACCTCTATAAAAAAAAGTTTTGACCATAAAAGAAGCATTAGCCTCCCCTATATTAAAGGATTGACAGACAAAAGTAGCACAAACTTGAAAAAAACTGGCCTAAACACCATCTATACTGTCCCAAAAAATGAGATAAAATTATTAAAAGAGTTAATTGAAATGCGTAATGCAAAGGGGGGCAATGAGAGCCAAACGCTGGGTGTTGAGTTCGGATAATGATATTACACAACGTTTTGAATTAACATGGACTTCCAATAACATTACGGCGAGACAGATTGCTTCACTTTTGGATCCAAGGTTTAAAGACTTGGATCATGAACCTTTTGAGGCAAGAGCGGAGATTAGAGCTCACGTGAAACACATGTTAGAGGCAGTAGTTCCTACTGAAGATGCATGCTCTAAAGTTGTCTCAAAAAATAATGCTCTGGAGTTTCTCTATCAACAAGAGGTCAATAGTAATGACATTGACACACAGTGGCAACGCTATATATCTGAGCCGCAATTACGTTTCAATTTAGATCCATTTGAGTGGTGGAATGCTCGAAAGGATAAATTTCCTGCTATTGCATACCTTACCAGAAAGTATTTAAGTATACCTGCGTCTTCTGCAAGCTCAGAGCGATGTTTCTCAACGGCTAGTAACATTGTTACTTCAAAAAGAAGTTGTTTGCTGCCAGAAAATGTCGACATGTTAGTTTTTTATATCAAAATAGAAGTCTGCTTTTTTAAATGTAATCTTGTAATTTTATAAGTTTTATTTTGCTTCCTCATAGAGGAAGCTTTGTTTTCCTGAAAAAATTTTTTTTCCAG